GTTTTCTTGTGTGTGTGAGCGTGTGTATACATTAGCATCTGGAAGCCCAAGGTTGATATTGGGTGTGTTCCTTCATAGTTCTCTACTTGTTTTCTGAGGCAAGGTCTCTCACTGCACCCAGAGCTTGCTATTTCAGATAGTCTGGCTGGCCTGCTTGCCTTGGAGAACCTCCTGCTTCTGCCTCCTGAAGATTGATTGCAGGTGGGTGCTGGGAGTCGAAACTCGGGCCTTGAGGCTTCTGCAAGTGCTGTATCCACTGAGCCTTCTCCCCATACCTCACTTCCATTGTGTTGACTTACCAGCTGGCACAGAGGACTTGCGTTCTTTGTCCAAAGCCACCCAGTTACTAAGTGGCAGACTCTTCGGTCCAGGCAGTGTGCTCCACGGTGTGTGTTCATCTGCTGCTCTGCAAAAGGAAGGGTATACTGCTGAGCTTTTGGTTTTAAAAATAATTATAAATTATTGTGTTTTCAGGAATGAGAGCATTGGACATAACAATAATGTTTTATAGATTCCGAGAATTTGATCTTTTATATTTCTTTCCAGCCACTTTCTTTCTTTTGGAAACGAGATCTAATTGTGTAAATCCAGGCCAACCCAGAATTCGGTATATAACCCAAGCTGGTCTTTAGCTGTGATGCTCCTTCCTCAGCCTCGCAGATCCTGCTGCCATGCCTAGCTGTTTCCAGTCATTCGATAAGGTGTCTCTCTAACTTTGGGCAGTGTGAAATGTTTAAAGAGGAATTGTGTTTTCTCCTGGTAATATGACAGAAATCAGAAGAACGAACAAGTTTTAAAGCTACAGTGTGTTTTTGCTCAATGCGTTGTGACAGCCACGGGTGGGAATCATGTGAAAAGAATCACACCTCACATTTAAACAATACTTTTATGTGGATGAGTGTTTTTCCTACATGTTTGTCTGTGTGCCATGAGTGTGCCTGGTGCTGGCGGAAGCCAGGAAGGGTGTCAGGTCCCCTGGAACTAGAGTTGTAGATAGTTGTGAGCCCCCAGTGTGGGTGCTGGGAGTCAAGCTGAGGCCCTCCAGAGAAGAGCAGTGAGGGTTTTCAACCTCTGAGCCATCGCTGCTTCTCCCATAGTTTTTTTTCCCCCACAGTTCAGAAATTGATCAAAACATCCTTCTTGTTATAAACCTTAAAACTTTTTCTCAGATAATCAAAAACAAAAATAATCAACATGTGATCAAGTGTTTTTTTTTTTTTTTTTTTTTTTTTTTTTTTTTTTTTAACAAGATCCTCACTATATAGTATGAGCTG